TTTTGCGTTTAATAGTTGTAGGGGATAATATTTTGTAGGGGAAAATAGTTTTTGGGAAAATAATGGGTTGTAGGAAAAATAGTTGTAGGAAAAGTTGTAGCGAAAAATAGTTGAGCGATAATAGTTGTAGCAATGTGTTGTAGCGATAATATTGAGCGTTTTTTAATTTTTTGGGGTAGCGATTTTAGTTTTTGTAGCAAAATAGTTGTAGCGATAAATAGTTGTAGGGGAAAAATATTTGGTTGCGATAATATTTTTGTAGCGATAATAGTTGTAGCGAAAATTTAGTTGTAGCGAAAATTTTAGTTGTAGCGAAAATTGTTTGTAGCAAAATTTTAATAGTTTTTTAGCGAAAATGGGTTTGTAGCGTTAATTTGGGTTTTGTTGGGAAAAATAGTTTTTTTAGCGATAATAGTTGTAGCGATAATAGTTGTAGCGTTTAATATTTTTTGTAGCGTTAAATTAGTTGTAGCAAATAATTTTTTGTAGCGATAATATTTTGTAGCGATAATGTTGTAGCGATAATAGTTGAAAGCGAAAATAGTTGTACAAAGATATTTGTAAAAAATTTTTCCCAGCGAAAATAGTTGTAGCAATGATAGTTGTAGCGATGATTTTGGTAGGGGAAAATTTAGTTTTTAGCGAAAATTTGTTTTTGCGTTTTAATAGTTGTAGCGTTTAATAGTTGTAGCGTAATAGTTTTTAGCTTTTAATAGTTTTTACGTTTAATATTTTGTAGCGATAATATTTTGTAGCGTTTTATAAATAGTTTGTAGCGAAAATGTTTTTTAGCGAAAAATATTTTTGTAGCGTTTAATTTAGTTGTAGCAAAATATTTTGGAGCGAAATAGGGGTTGGGGAAATTTTGGGGGTGATTATTTGGGGGTGCGTTAATAGTTGCGGGCGATAATAGTTGTAGAATGATAGTTGTGGGCGTTTTTTTGTTTGTAGGGGAAAATTTGTTTTTCGAAAATTTATTTTGTAGCGAAAATTTTGTTGTAGCGATAATAGTTTTTTAGCGAAAATTTGTTTTTTAGCGTTGTTGTTGTAGGATGATAGTTGTAGCGATGGAGTTGTAGAAATGATAGTTTTTAGCGATGTTAGTTGAAAGCGTAATAGTTGTAGCGTAATAGTTGTAGCGATAAATAGTTGTAGCGAAAATAGTTTTTGGGGAAATTTGTTGTAGCGAAAATTTGTTGTAGCAAGTTTGTTGAAAGCTTTTAATTTGTTGAAACGAAATAGTTGTAGCGATAATAGTTTTTGCGTAATATTTGGGTAGCGATATGGGTTGTGGGAATAATGTTTTTGCTATAATATTTGGGAGCGATAATAGTTTTAGCGAGGGATAGTTGTAGAAATTTGAAAGTTGTAGAATAATAGTTGTAGCGAAAATTGTTGTAGCGATAAAAGTTTTTAGCGTTTAATTTTTGGTAGCGTTTAAGGGGTTTTTTGCGTTTAATTTGTTGTAGCGATGTTTATTTTTTGCGATTTTAGTTGTAGCGAAAATTTTTTGTAGCGGATAGTTGTAGGATGATAGTTGTAGAAAATAATAGTTGTAGCGTTTGATGTTGTAGCGATAATAGTTGTAGCGTTTAATAGTTTTTCCCGTTTTGGATAGTTGTAGGTGATTTTTTGTGGGCGATATAGTTTTTTAAGCGTTATAGTTTGTAGGATAAATAGTTGTAGCTTTTTTGATGTTTAGCGATGATAGTTTTTAGCAATTTAAATTTTTGAAAGCGTTAATTTTTGTAGCAAATGTGTTGTAGGGGTGATAGTTGTAGCGATGTTAGTTGTAGCAATGTTTGTTGAATCAAAGATAGTTGTAGCGATGATAGTTGAAAGCAATGTTTGGGTTGTAAAAAAAATTAGTTGTAGCGATAAAGGTTGTAGCAAGGTTGTTGTAGCAATAAAAAGTTTTTAGCGTTGATAAAAAAGGTTGAGACGTATTAGTGGTAATAGAGGTACGGATAAAAAGATTTTAATTGTAATAGAAATAGGGTTTAATAGAAGTTTGAAAATAGAAACAGCGGTAATAGTAGAAATGATATTTAATAGTGTTAAGGGAAAGTAGCTGTAACAGAAGTGTGATTTTGGAAGTTGACGTAGTTGTAGGGGAAGTGGGTACTGATAGTAGTATTTTTTGGGTTAGTGAATTTAAAAGTAGGGGGAATTTAGTAGTAGTATTTGTAGTAGTAGTAGAAAGTAGTATTTGTAGTGTCGTAATAGTAGTAGTAGAAGAAATTTGGAAAAATTTAAAATGGTAGAAACCGGGAGGGGGAAGTATTTAATTTGGGTTGTGTTTTTGCGTAGAAAGGGAGGGTGTATAGAAAGTAGTAGTCACAAGAATGACCATGGGGTTTCTTTACTTTTTAAACAGTTTTGGGGCTGTGAGGCCTTGTACACCCTTACAATTAAAGGGGTTTTTAAGACTGGGGAAACGGATCTTGACCCAAAGGGAAAAGGGGGAGCACTCTTTCCCTTTCTCAGGGTAAAAACCTTTTACCCTCCCCCTTTTAATTATTATTTTTGTAAACATTAATAATAAAAAATTAATTTTTAAAAATAATAATAATAAAAATTTTCAGAAATCAACAGGGTTTAAAAAGGGGTCTATCGTCTAATATGTTAAAAAAAATTAGGAAATTTTTTTTTAAGGCCCAAATTTTTTTACCACACATAATTTATGATAAAATTTCAATGAAAATTTAATAGTCGTATCAAATACTTAGATAATAAATTTACTGTTAAAAATACTCACTGATCAAAAATACTCACTGTATCAAATACTCACTGTATCAAATACTCACTGTATCAAATACTCACTGTATCAAATACTCACTGTATCAAATACTCACTGTATCAAATACTCACTGTATCAAATACTCACTGTATCAAATACTCACTGTATCAAATACTCACTGTATCAAATACTCACTGTATCAAATACTCACTGTATCAAATACTCACTGTATCAAATACTCACTGTATCAAATACTCACTGTATCAAATACTCACTGTATCAAATACTCACTGTATGAAATATTCAATGTATGATATACTCACTGTATCAGATACTCGCTGGAAATGTAAAACGTAATTTGTACGGATAACTCGAATCTACTTCTTCAACTAACTCCATTATAAAAGTCTGTTTTCATGCCACTGTATTACCACCATGCAGCAAAGTTACTCCAGGTGCTGCACAAGTATCTTACTCACCATGGTATCCTGTTATTCAGCTCACGGAAAGGAATTTCGTGGCCAAATGAGGTTATTTTCGTTTGGTTAATTATCCGATCGTATTACTGTATGTTGGTCCTCAGCGGACTGGAGCGTAAAGAATTTTTTTTCGGGTTTATGTCTCAACTACTTCATTTAGAAAATAGCCCAGATGGAGGGCATTTATGCTAAACTCCAACTACACATACCGTAAATCACCGGGAGGGCTTTTAAAACTGCTACCCCACCCGCCTGTCACCATCCAAATTTTCTCTCCGCGAAGCCTGGGATTAGAGTTTTTGAACTGTTAGCATATTCATCGAATACACTAGCATCCAAGACTGCAACCCAACACAAGACAACGGAGCAGAAATGCAAGGGCAGTCGACTGATACAGGTTGGGCCACACCAAACTTCCTGTTTTCCCACTGGGGTCTCCATGCATGACACACACATGGGGCAGCAGCATTTTTAAGTCTTCGCAAGCAACGCTCACTCTGGCAAGGGAAGCCGACTTTGTCATACCCCCTTCCACCATGGAAGACCATTGTCACAGGAAGAATAGTTTTGTGTGTTTCAAGACCTTGTTTTTAACATTTCTACGGAAATAATATGTTAAGTTTTTTCTCGTGCAGCATTATAAGTGCTACGAGTTGATATAGGGCTCATTTGCTCTCTTTCTCTCTGGGTTCTCATGCTCTCATTCTGAGCTCCCCTGCTCTTAATCTGAGCTCCCAGCTCATCTCATCAGTTCTCGGGAAGTCAGAGCCCCGTCTCTCGCAGCTCATCCTCCTAATCAACGTCAGTATATCATTTGGGCTAAGAACCTCAAATGTTTGTCCGTGACACTGGAATTAAACGGTGACGCTCAGTTTCTACCTCATGTATTATTACATTTTCTGACTATGTAAGTTGCAAGTGATTAAATTTTGCTTATGGACGACAATCTAACCCTGCCTAATCTACCCTAACCTAATTTAACCGTCAAATGCGAGCAATCGACATTTGCCTAAGGAAGATCTGTTACTTGTCCTCTTGTCACTCAATGTAAGTGTCCTTTCTCTCCATCCTCTTAAAAAAAGTAATGACTGTTTACTTTAGCCACGACTCTGACATGCCGGCATACATGTGAAGGAATCTTCATCAACTGACCGAGTCTGAGTACATAATCCTCACCCTCGTAAGTTCAGGTTACAGATGAATACAGCACTCTAGATGTGGTGTCCTAAATGTTCACAATTCACATTTTACGGTTATTTTTCTCATCTCAGACTGCAATTCACAGTTGAGTCTTTTAATTTCTTTTCTTCTGTCCGTCTCTCTATCTCGTGAAGTTAAACAACCATTGCAGCGATATCCAGAGACTTCGTAGAAACAATTGGGCATCACTTTGTTCAGATTTCCCAGGAGATACATTTGTCTCCAGACTTTTCTTCGGTTTAAACCCGAACGCGAATTCATTCCACTGGATTTTACCTTACTAATGACCCTTATAATGTTTTAGTTATATTTTTTAACTAATATCGGCAATATAAATACTATCTCAAGATCATCTCTCAGCATTTCGAAAGAATCTGCAAATATTTTCTTATACTCTCACTCTCCTTTATTTTTATTCTGCTCTCTACGTGGACACTGGTCTGTTTACTGTGCTTAACTCTCCTCTCTTCCTTCCCAGAAGGTAACCTTTCCTACCTTCATCTACATCTGTCTTCCTTCATCTACACCTTTCTGCCTCCATATTCACCTGCCTACCTCAGTCTACGCTCCAAGAATCATACAGCTGTTATTCTTGCAAAACACTTAAGCTTCGGAAGACAGATCAACTTACCTACAACACTGTGGACAAAGTGCCAGAGTTCTGGGTCCCTAGAGAACTCCACTAGCGCCGCCAGTACGTCATCCACGCTGCCACCGCCATCACTGCCGCCACTATTACTGCCACCGCCATCACTTCTACCGTTAACATTGCCGCCATCACTGCCACCGCCATCACTTCTACCGTTAACATTGCCGCCATCACTGCCACCTCCATCACTGCCACCGCCATCACTGCCACCGCCATCACTGCCACCGCCATCCTGTTGTTAAAAAAAATCCATATCAAATAATACATAAAGCTTAATAATAAGGGACCCAACTTCCAAAATGAGAATTTCAAATCTTTGGTGGATATTTTTATTAAATTTTATGGCATGCGATAAGCAATATAGGCGCTGGATTGTATTCACTAGCCAACCTCCTGTCTAGTAGCAGCTGAGTCATGAAAAACAACAGATTTCCCGATATTGTAACTATTAATACATAGCGTGAATTTTTTTTTTCCAGTTCTCTTTTTTTTCCACAATAGTAAATTTAGCTTAATTATTCTTATTTTGTAATTTATCCTTGTTTTTATTAGACAGTTATCTCTTAATTTAGTGTTGATGAGCAGTTTCCACGCAGGAACTTGAAAGGTTTTACCTAATTCAGTTGAAACTTTTCACATGTTCATGTCATAGTCAAAGGGAAGATTTTGATGTAACTGGATAGAAATAAGAAAGAGAAGACAGACCAGTGTGCCTTTTCTTTCTTCTAGTGCAGTACAGACATTAATATTTTGACCTGATTTAAGCAAACCTGTATATCACAAATGACGATTATAGCTGACAACCCTGGTAGAAAGACCAGGAACGCATAATTACGAAATAAAACACTGTAAGAGGAATAGATAGGCCCAGACTGTTCGAATTAAGAGGACCAAGATCAATGGGGCACAAGTGAAAGCTGAAGAGCCATGCGAATGTAAGGAAGTGATTCTTTTATCTCATGAAAGTTGCAAACCGGAATGACTTGGATGAGGCAGTGGTGGAAACAAACTCATTACACAGCTGTACGAGTAGATATGACAAGATCAAAGAGGCCACAAACCCGAGATGCTTATCAAGGAAATCTAATGGTTCTGGTATAAGAGTTGAGTCTCGACCCCAGGAAACATAATTAGGTGCGTGCAACTCAGTGGATGCGCACACACACACACACACACACACACACACACACATACATACATACACATACACACAATATATATATATATATATATACATATATATATATATATATTATAATATATATATATATATATTATATATATATATATATATATATATATATATGTCGTGCCGAATAGGCAGAACTTGCGATATTGGCTTAAATAGCAACGCTCATCTTGCCATATAGGACAAGTGAAAATTTGTGTATGCAATAATTTCGCCAAAATCATTCTGAACCTAACGAAAAAAATATATTTCACTGTGTTTGTTTAGTATTAAATTATTGTAAACAAATCTAAAATATATTTAGTTGGGTTAGGCTAAAATAAATTATTCTTGTTATAATAAGGTTAGGTAAGTTTTCTAAGTTCCTTTTGGTGCAAAATTATAATTTTTTTCATCAACATTAATGAAAAAAATATATCTTTAAACGTATAAGAGAAAATTTTAGAAAGGACTTAATTTTAAATGAGTTCTTGCTAATTGACTAGTTTTAATATTCGGCACGACATATATATATATATATATATATAATATATATATTTTTTTTTTTTTTTAAAAAAAAATTTTTTTTTTAAAATTTTAAAAAATTTTTTTTTTTTAAAATTTTTTTTTGGAATTTTTTTCCCAAATTCCTTGAAAATTGAAAAAATTTTCTTTTTACTTTTTTTTTTTTTTTTGGGGGGGCCCCTTTTTTGGGGGGGCCCCCTTTTTTAAATTAAAAAAGGTTTTTTTTTTTTTTTTTTTTAATTTTTTTTTTTTAAAAAAAATTTTTTTTTTTTTTTTTTTCCCAAAATTTTTAAAAGGGCGGGGCCCCCAAAAAAAAAAAACCCCAAAAAAAAATTTGGGCCCCCCCCAAACCCCCCTTTAAAAATTTTTAAACCCCGGAAAAATTTTTAAAAAAAAATTTTAAAGTTAAAAAACCCCCCCAAACCCCCCCCCCCCCTTTTTTTTTCCCCCCCCCCCAAAACCCCCCCCAAAAAAACCCCGGCCCCCAAATTTTTTTAAAAAAACCCCCCCCCAAAAATTAAAAAAAGGGTTTTTGGGGAACCCCCCCCAAAAATTTTTAAATTTTTTTTTTAAAAAAAAACCCCCTTTTCCCCCCCCTTTTTTTTTTCCAACCCCCCCTTTAAACCTCTTTTTTTAAAAAAAACCCCAAGGGAAACAAAATTTTCATCCCTTTTTTTTTTCCCCCCCCTTTTTTTTTTTTAAAAAATTTTTTTTTTTTTTTTTTTTTTTAAAATTTTTTTTAAATTTAAAAACCCCCTTTTCCCCCCCTTTAAAGGTTTAACCTTTTCCCTTGGTTTTTTTTTCCCCAAAATTTTTCAAAAAAGGGGGAAAATTTTATTTTTTTAAAAAAAAAAAAAAATTTTTTTTTTTTTCCCCCCCTTTTAAAAAAACCCTTTTTTTTTTTTTTTTTAAAAAATTTTAATCCCCCCCCCCAAAGGAAAACCCTTAAGAAAAAAACCAAAAAAAACCCCCCAAAGGGAAAAAATTTTTTCCCAAAATTTTTTTTTCCCCCCTTTTTCCCCCAAAAAAAAATTTTTTTTAAAAAACCCCCCCTTTTTAAAATTTAAAATTTTTTTTAAAAAACCGGGGAAAAAAATTTAAACGGAAAATTTTAAAAAACCCCCCCCCCCCCCTTTTTCCCAAAAAATTTACCTTTAAAATTTTTTCCCCCAAAAAAAAAGGGGGGGGAAAAAAACCCCCCCCCAAAAAAAAAACCCCCCCTTTTAAACCCCTTTTAAAAATATATATTTTTTAAAAAAAAAATTTTTTTAAAAAATTTTTTTTTTTTTTTAAAAAAATTTTTTTTTTTCCAACCCTTTTTTTTTTTAAAAAAAAAATTTTTTTCCCTTTTAAAAAAAAAATTTTTAAAAAAAAATTTTTTAAAAAATTTTTAAAAAAGGAAAAATTTTTAAAAAATTTTTTTTTTTTTTTAAAAACCAAAAAATTTTTTTTTTTTTTAAAAAAATTTTTTTTTGTTTTTTGGAAAAAATTTTTTTTTTTTAAAAATTTAAAATTTAAATTTTTAATTAAAAAAAATTTTTTTAAAAAAAATTTTTTTTTTGGGGGCCTTTTTTTAAAAACTTTTCCCCCAATTTTTTTTCCCCAAAATATATTTATTATATATTTATTTTTTTTTTTTTTTTTTAAAAAAAAAAAAAAATTTTTTAAAAAATTTTTTTTTAAAAGGGGGGGGGGGAAAAAAAAACCCCCCTTTTAAAAAGGGTTTTTTTGGGGGCCCCCCCTTTTTTAACCCCAAACCCCCCCCCAAAAAAAGGGAAGGGAAACCACCCCCGGGGGGGCCCCGGGGGCCCGGGGAAGGGGGAAAACCCCCAAAATTTATTTTTTTTTTTTTTTTTAAAAAAATTTTTTTTTAAAAAACCCCCCCTTTTTAAAACAAAACCCTTTTAAAAAAAAGGGGGAAAAAATTTTAAATTTCACACCTTTGTATCCCCCGGTGGCGGCCCAATTTTTTGGGGGGGGGTTTTTTTTGGGGGGGGGGGTTTTTCCCTTGGGGGGTTTTTTGGGGGGGGAAAAAAAAATTTAACCGGGGGTTAACCTGTTTTTTTGTTTTTTTTTTTTTTTTTTATATATTTATAATTTTATATATATATTTTTTTTTTTTTTTTTATATATATTTTTTAAAAAATTTTTTTGGCCAAAAAAATTTTTTTTTAAAATTTTTTAAAATTTTTTTTTTAAAATTTTTCTTTTAATTTTTAAATTTTTTTTAATTTTTTAAAAAAAAATTTTAAAAAAAAACCTTTTAAAAAAAACCTTTTTTTAAAAAAAAATTTTTAATTTTTAAAATTTTTTTTTTTTTAAAAAAAATTTTTTTTTAAATTTTTTTTTTCCGGGCAAAAATTTTTTTTTTTTTTAAAAATTTTTTTTTTTTTCCCCCAAAAATTTTTTTTTTAAGGCCCAAAATTTTTTTTGGCCCCAAAAAATTTTTTTTTTTTTTTTATTTTTTTTTTTTATATTTTTTTTTTTTTTTATTTTTTTTTTTTTTTTAAATTTTTTTTTAAAAAACCCCCCCCCCTTTTTTTTAAACAAAAAACCTTTTTTTTTTGGATTTAAATTTTTTTTTTTTTTTAAAAAAATTTTTTTTTTGGGGGAAAAAAATTTTTTTTTCCCCCAAAAATTTTTTAAAAAAAAATTTTTTTTTAAAAAATTTAATTTTTCCCTTTTTAAAAAAATTTTTTTTTTTTAAAATTTTTTTTTTTTTAAAAAAAAAAAATTTTTTTCCTTTGGCCCGGGGTTTTTTTAAAAATTTAAAAAAAAGGGAAAAAGGGGGTTTTTTTTTTAAAAAAAAAAAATTTTTTTTAAAATTTTAAAATTTTTAAAAAAAAAAAAATTTTTTTTTTTTTAAAAAAAAATTTTTTTTTTTAAAAAAAAAAAAAAAAATTTTTTTAAAAAAATTTTTAAAAAAAAATTTTTTTTTTTAAAATTTTAAAAAAAAAAAATTTTAAAAAAGAAGGGGGAAAAAAAAAAAGTGGGCCCCTTTTTTAAAAATTTTTTTTAAAAAAAAAGGTTCCCCCTTTAAAGGGGTTTTGGGGGAAGAAAATCCCCAAAAAAAAAATTCTTAATTAATTTGGGCCCTTTTTTAAAAAAAAAAAATTTAAAAAAAAAATTTGGGGGGGTTGGGGGGGGGGGGTTTAAAAAATGGGCCCCCAAAAAAATTTTTTAAAAAGGGGTTTTTTTAAAATTTTTTTGGGAAAAAAAAAAAAAAACCCCAAAAAAAAAAAAATTTTAAAAAATTTTTGTTTGGGGTTTAAAAAGGGGGGGGGAACCCCCCTTAATTTTTTTGGGGGGGGGAAAAAAAAAAATGGGGGGGCCCAAAAAAGGGGAAAACAGGGGAAAAAAAAAAAATTTTCCCAAAAAAAAGGGGGGGGGAAAAAAAAAAAAAAGGGGGGGGGGGGTTTTTTAAAAAAAAAAAAATTTTTGGGAAAATTTTTTGGAAAAGGGTTTGGGGTTTTTTTAAAAAGGGGGGGAAAAAAGGGGGGGGGGGGGGGGGAAAAAAAGATTTTTGGGGAAAAAAAATT